AACTTTTGCGCTCTCTCTCTCTCTCTCTCTCTCTCTCTCTCCTTAATTCAATCTTATCTGTAACAAAATTTTGAGCAACGTCTTGTTTAATATTTCAGTTTCATGAATTACAAATTGAAGTGAAACTGTTTCAAAAGATAAACAACACATAGAAAACCCATGATCATAACATTGTTCAAACCCAGAGAAGCATTCTGTTGTCCTGCACTGCATGGTATGCTGCTTCCACTATAGCACCCTTTCTTTTGCTGGATCCCTGCACCGCGATTTTCAAGAACAAATGTAGAGTTTGTCTTCCCACTGCTGAAAAGAACACTCCAAAAGAATGGCCCTTTATGAACCCGAACCATGCCTACACCCACCTCGGTATGTGATTTATTTCTCAGAATTGATAAAGCCTTGCTGTCTCGAACAAGAACATGCGCAAAAGCTAGTGATGGCTCAAGATACTTGGATTGGCAACCCACAATGTGGCCAGTTATGGTGCCGAAAGTTGGTAGTTCCACACCACAATCGGGGGCAAAAACTTCGGTGAAGTCATCTTCAGATGGTTTGCAGTTTACAGTGTTGTTGATAGAGCAGTTCCCCTTGCACAATTCGGCATATTGCAGCGCAATGCAACCGAGTCCAGGACTGTCATTTAGTTTTGAAAGTTTATGGGCTGTTCGGTTGTTGTTGATAATCTCAACAAGATCATTTGCAGGGTTTCCTGAAGGACAAACCACACCCAATGTCGCAAAATCAACATATGTGGCCATTCAAAACTAAAACCTATCTTCAAAATAATGCAATACACTTACACAAACATGCAGTCCTTATTTAATCTTTGAAATAAAATAGATGACAAATATATACACGAAGAATGTGAAGAATGAGAATGTAGAAATTTTCTAAGTTAATCCAATTACATTGATTTTGATAGTTAAGAATTAAATGCCACTTTTCCTACTCTCACCAAGCGTCTTACAAGTGAATATAACCACATCAACATCATTTTTAAGAAAAAATTGCTACGGAAAAGGTTAACTTGTGATCATGGTTCCTACTGTGGAGAACCAAATTAGGCCACATCACAATAACCAACTTGTGGTTGGGATGACTAGATGTGTAAACCCAAATTCTATGATTAGGTTAGGATGACCCTGCACTGGGACTCTTGAGTTTTTTCAACAATCACAAAGGAGGAATGGAACCACTGAGCATACCCTCATGAACATCATTTATTTGGGTACCCATAAATTCCCCCAATCCACGAAGCGATCAGATTCGAAACTGGAGCCTCCCCGCCAAACGCTACAATCTTTGGGAGGCAGGAAACACTAGCAAATAGCTAGGTAGGTACCTTAGGGGGTTTCGAACCTCATACCACATGGGAGCAAACCATGGGATTGAGATTTGAAATATAGTGGGATGTGAATGGGAACTATGAAATTCTTAACTTTTATGCAAATGCTAGATCATAGACAGAGATAAGATAAGTAAACAAGGTGTAGATGACATAAAGCACTTCTAAAGATTCAACTATAGCTCCCAAATCAGGGAGCAAAATGAGGCAGAAGAGAAATCTAATACTGACTGCCTACTGTGCCTTTCTTGACTTTGGAAACTCTTATTATCATGATTGGGTGATATGCTCCTCTTGTCTGAAAAGACATTTTAGTGACTGTTGCAGTGTAGGACTTTCTCAATGGCAGTAATTAATTAAAATAAATTAAGAGTATTCAGAACAGAACCTTCTATTTAACCCTTCATCTGTGGCCAAAGTGCAGAAAAGAAAGAATGTGCTAATCTTATCTTAAAATAGTCACTTGACAAGCCAAAAAAC